ACATCTATGTGCATTTACTCTTTACCTGTTCCTATGGAGCTGCTTATATTGGACCTTGTAAGCGTACTCTCCGAAAACGTGTAGATGAACACTATCCGGTGTGGTTAATTAAATGCGAACGTACAACTGCAAAGTCGTCTATTTCTGATCATCTGTTAAAGTCTGGTCATTTAGCCCCACGTGATTCATCCTTCAAGGTTATCTACATGGCAAAGTCGAATCGCTCCAAAAGTTTACATTTTCTTCACTTATGCATAGCCGAAGCTTTAGCTTTACATGAACAGAAACCTAAATTATGTGTTCAAAAACGTTTTGTCAAACCCCTTTCTTTACCTTGGTCATAGTAGTGTTCTTTATAGTTTTTATTTTATTTTACCACTTGAATTCATTCCACTTCACTTCACATCTTCATTCTTATCGTAATCGTACTCCTAGTTTCTAAAATTTTTAGACCACGCTTGACGATTTTTAAAAAAACTATTTTCGTTATTGATTCACTTATAAACAATCTTTAATAATTTTGTAATCCATCCACTTCAACTCTACCCCTTATAACATTTTAAATATAGTTGTTCTTATCACTTATGTATATGTATATGTATATTGACTGAGCAATTATTTAGTGCTATTTAGTAACTTTTTCTGTAATATAAATACAACTGAACAGCTTGAAAATGAAGTCATTGAAAAGAATATTCTTCGCTGAACAAAATAACTGTATTTTACTTAGGAATATATGGGTATTTTTCGCACTTTTGATGCGTTGACATCATCTGTTCCACCTGTAGTTGAAAGGATGCTTCCCAGATAAGTGAAGGCAACCTCTGTTAAATCTCTCCCGTTGATGGTGCTGGTTGTTGTTGTTGTTGTTGTTGCAGTTCGTTGGTTATCTTCACCGCCTCCGTCTTCTCTACGTTCACCTGCAGTCCTGTCTTCATCGCCTCTTCAGCCAATTTGTTGGCTTTCGCTTGCAGGTCTTCGAGTTGGTGTGACATTAGACACAAATCATCTTAGAAATCTAGATCTTCTAGAGTCTTCTTATTGGTGGTCCACTGTATTCCTCTCTCCTCGTTCCCCATAGTCTGACGCATAATTCAGTCCACCACAGTGAAGAATATCGTCGATGATAATAGACTGCTAGCCTTGTCTTATTCCTGTATGCACTTCGGACGCCTCTCTGAGTTTTCCGTTGTGGATCACCTGACACGTGGCACTGTCATATATCCAACTATTGAATGAGGTTGATAAAGACTTGATGTATGCCGTAGTGTTGAAGCAGTTTCCAAATTACTCCCTTGTCAACACTGTCGAGGGCCTTCTCAAAGTCGAAGAAGTTGAGATACAGGTTTGGCTGTCATTCTATGCTTTGTTTACTGATGATGCGTAGAGTTGTTTTGTCTTACTTTGGAACTCTTCACCGATTCTTACTCATAACCCTACCAGGGACCGAACCGAGTACCCTCAGGGTAATGGACCAAGCTCCTTCACCACTCAGTCACCTCTGGTCGGATACCAATGAACTCTGACTTCTGTGAATTTGTGATGATATAACCCTATCCTCAACCAACGCCTTAAGTAAGCATCCAGTTCACCTTAACACAGTTGATTCCATTGGCTACTCTCCTTCTCAGCACAGATTCATCCAGTTTTCATCATATAGATTATAGACTTTCACAGGGATGTGGATTAATTCCAGATCAGATCTCGCCACTGACTAACTAAAAATAGAACGAAACAGCTATCGGTCTAGTAACCTCAGTTTTCTAGGATCTCTAACTCCTAATGACACGTGACTGAGTGAACATTGAAGTATACACCAATATTTAACAAAATCGAATTATGCAGAGAAAAATTGATAAAATCTTGTTTTGATTTTCTAAACAAGTTGGGACTGTTTTAAAATAACCTTATAATAATGACACAGTTGTTTTGTTGATTAAATATTGAATAAGTTTGTATTTAAAACTTAATAATTTAATCGACTAGAATATGAAATACAGAATTTTCGACTGTTGCTCAACCGACATGATGGTTCAAATGTATAACTTAATTTATGTTCAATGAATGGCTTCCGAGGAAGCTTAAACTATCATAGATGGTTACTAGTTTGACTGTTAATGCGTGTAGTGTTTATTCGATATATAATTAACCTCCACATACATCGAACAGATATTTATCATTATTTAGACAACCACTGGAAAATTATGGAATACTGAACAACTGTTTCATCCCAGTTTGGGAATCTTCAGTTGTACGCACCCATCGGGGTTTGAACCCAGAACTTTCCTGGTTACAAGGCGACCAGCTCGTAGACCATTCAGTCACTGAGACAAGACCTAGTGGCTCGTAAATTCTAATTTCTACCGATCCATGATATATATTTTTTTGATTACAGCTCGATTCCACACTGTATTTTTGGTACAAATATGGAATTTTCAGTATGGATATCGGTAGCCCAAATTTATCAGGTGTGCGTCGGTGGGGAATCGAACCTCGGACCATGTGCATGGTTGGCGAGAGTCCTAACCACTGTGCCACCGACGCTCAACGACCAGTAAATACCGCCAGCCAGTAACTGTCCTCTTACCTGGCTTGGTCGACCCAGCTGATCAAGAATTCTCACTAGAACTCCTAGTCCATCGCCTCCCCCGATGGGCATTACTAGCTGATATAGGTGCAGGTTGGAAAAGAGCCAGTGGTGGCCAAACAAAAACATGTCATCAATCCATGAAATCCTTGACAGTTAAACTGAGTCAGGTAGGGAGATGCAGACTTCCGGGTTGGAGCCCTCGGGACTGTAGGAATCAATGGTTGGAGACAAAAGGTGACATGGCTACAGTCGATCGTTGTCAATGGCGAAGATGTATTCAGTCTCTGTAATCTTTCATATTCCTTTCTACCATTACCCATTCTGTTTCGCTCTTATACTTGTCAAACTCTATTGATTCTCTTCACTCATCTTCTTGTCTACCTTTGTGTGGTATTTGGAACGTGGCAACTCGAACTGCTGCACTTTGGTGCCAAGTTCTATGTTGAATCCAGACAGACAGAACTCCTAGTAATTTCCTGTATAGCAAGTAGAAAGTAAGCAACAGATTAATCTCCAAGTGTTAGTAAGAATGAACGTGATTGGTTACTAGGTTTGAACACGAGATGAACAGTCGAAAAGTAGGACAGAACAGCTGTTCAGTATTCGTTGATTTTCTAACGGTTTTCTAACTAATATCAGCTCATGATTAAACCTATAACCAATCAAATCCCTGCAAAGCAACACTTAAAAACGTATCATTACATTCACCATATGTAAATTATACACACAATTTTAGGCTAGTAAACAACACCAGGAATTGGAAGCTCAGGATTGGGCGTGATATAATACTAGAGAACATCGTGAGAAGAGGAAATGGACCATCGCGGAATCAGTTGAAATCTATGGTTCCACTCGAGACTTAATGTATATACCATCTTGCCAGACAATAGTAATTATCAAGAAAATAAAAAGAAGCCACAAAACCCCGCACCCCTCTTGGTTATTTTTTTTTTTTTACAGTCAACATTATTATGATAATCGCCAGAGAGACAAGCGGAGATAGAGAGAAAACTCAAGGTTTACACATAACAGCGTCTCATTCTTTAAACATTAGCATAAATATAAATATAGACACAAATGATCGGCATTGTTTGTTCGCTCACTCGCTAGCTCACTGGTTGTCTCTTTGTCTCCCTTTGCCTTTATAGCGATTTGTATAAATAAATGACAGTTCAAGGAAAGCATTGAAAAAGAAGATAGAAAGCAAATAAACAGAATGATTGAGAAAAAACAAGGAGGAAATTTTATAAAGTTTTTCTATCAGACTAAAAAGTATGTTTGAATGCATTGCACACTGTGATGATGTCTTTATAAACTACAACACCGATTCATAATGAATGTCTGTGTGTGTGTGTGTGTGTGTGTGTGCGTGTCTGCGTGAGTGATGTACGTGATTTTGATCAGTTAATTGATTAATATTAGTGGTATTAATTATCACACTCGTTTATTAGAGTGAATGACGAAAATAATGAAAATATAGCTGTGATAATAGTAATAATAACAAAGGGTACAATGATCTTAAAGACTCTTCATGAATCATTCTTCACTTGAACTGTTAGTACCACTTGGAACCTTAACATATACATAACGCTATAACACACACCATTTTATTTCAATTACAATAGTAATAGTAATTATTATTATTATTATTACTGTCGTTTAGTCGTTACATCCTTTTTTGACCAAAGTATTAACAAGAATAGTAATAATAATAATAATAATAAAGAAGAGACAAGAATGTTATGGAATGCAGAAAATAATGCAGATAATAATATGAGAAATAAAAAATAGCATGGTTTCTAGATTATTGATTGTCAAGAATATGCTGTGGTTGCGTAACCATTGAGATGATGACAGCTGTAGAGCACATCATATATGTAATCATAATAATAATAATAAGAGGTGTATATTATTAGAGAGACGAAATCGTAGAGCTGTAGCACAATTTAAAGCTTCATTCATGTAACTGTTCACTACTGCCTACTAAATGTGCTGACAAAAAATGTAAGAGAACCAAGAGTGACAAAGCAGGCATGCATGCATTCACTTTCCATTGAAACGACACAAAAACATATATAAAGTAAAGGAGATTAGTGTTGCACGACAGAGACGGCAGTAGAGAGACCGAGAGAGAGAGCGGGCGAGCGGGTTTGTCCAATGCATGAAATGCTTGTTAATTAGTTTACATAATATATATTCACGGGTGTGCATGTAATTATGTATGAATGTTTTTTGTGTGTATATGTGTGTGTCTGCGTGCTTAGGTTTGTAAATGATCCCGGTGAGGTGAAGCTTTTCAGGTAGTGGGTTTTTGTTTCTGTTGACAATGAATAAGATGACAATTTAAAAAATAAGAGAGAGAGCGAGAGAGAGAGAAGGAGACAGAAAGAATTAATCATCCCTCCACTTCTCACTCCTCTTCCTCTTCCTCTTCGTCATCCTCTTCTTCTTCTTCAGAGTCATCACTGACTACAACATCAGCTGTATGTGCAGCTGGTACATTTTCAAATACACCACTATGTGGACATTGTTCTCGCCATATATCAATCTACAAAAAAAAACAAAAGTTGAATATCAAAACAATAATGATAATGAATGACTGATACAAGATATTATCTAGTCTGTGAATGAATATACAAGTTTCCAAAACTTTATAAAGTGAAATAAAGGCACTTCTTCGACGCTGTCGGTAACCATATGATAACCACTCCTTTACTCTGTTCGTAGTTCTCATCTTGGTGACCGGAGCATTCTATATGCTCTCCTAAACTCCTACTACTTCTAAACCGTATCTTCTTATTTCTTTCGTAAATTGAACAGCCTTGCCTGCAAGTTATCGTCAAACATCGTGTGGACATTCCATGCCCATATGATTGCTTTCATTTTCACCGAAAGACGACATATCATCCAACTGGTTTACCAAGGGTTTTCATCAACCTCCGTCATTTCGTCTCTCCTATTCTGCAGACGAGTAGACTTTTTATATTCGTTTCCTGTGCTTTGAATTTCTCAAAGCGATTGGACTGATTTTCCACAGTCAGACAGCTGGCCTTACCCTCAAAAATTTTAAACGAATGACCCGTAAACTAGGCGAGGTAAAATCATGTGTCAGGTAAACACCTCGAGTGGAAGCCGAGTGGGGAACGATGAGTTGAGAGTGGATCCGAGCGTAATATCAAGGAAAACTCGTGTAAGAACCAATAATGAGACTGGCTAAAAGCGATTTCAGAGAAAGTAGTGGAAGATCAATACTCTACTGAAACCCAATGTTACACTCGGAGCTAAACGGGATAATAATAATAATAATAAAAACATTAATAATAATGTATTGGCATTGTAATGAAAGATAACTTATTAACTTACTATTTCTGGTCTACTTTTATTTTTTTCAGCTTCTTCTAATTGTTTTTGACGTTCAAGAAAAGCTTGTTTCGCTTGTGAAGCATATCGTGCTTGTTTTGCTGCTGCATCATTACCATTTGTATGATTCTCATCAACTAATAAAATTGTCTATAAACACAATATGATAGAAGCGAAAATGATGAGTATATTAAAAGCAATACAAACAACAATATGCGGAATAATGTTAATTGTCAGTATCATGTGTAAGAAGCCAGTCGCCTAGGACACTTAGAGATAGGTTTTATGCTTGATATACATCCTTAAGGCCTACTTTAAACTTCTCAGTATCTTAAGTTTCATTGGATATTCAGATACATACATCACTGATTACTGAATATATGTTGTCTTTAACAATCGGATAGAGGTGATTGAATCTCAGATAGCTGTCTTCCTCATCAGTGATACATCCAGAATGACTCAGCTCAATGAGTTGAATTAGTCTAAGTCATTCAAATTTTAGTTAAGCCACTTGGGTCAACGGATGGTACAGGGTTTCACTTAGATCTAAAGCATTCTGCAAGTATCTTTAACCACATCGCTTTGTCTACTTATTTCGTTCAGACATCAAATGGGAATATTCAACGGACTTTCTGACTGCTCACAATCTTTCATATATTGTCTAGATGATCTGTTCCACGTCAATCTTGAACTAACAATTAACTTGTCAGTCTCCATTCGGCGGGCTGCACGGTTTGTGTGATATCACTTAACGATGTCCTCGGCATACATCCAGTCACCATAAAATCTCCTTCCACATATAAGTTCAACAAAGGATTGTTGGCTGGTTGACTGCCACACCAGCTACTTGTTGCTTATCCATTCAGACCAACCGTCTAAATTTCAGTATCGACTGAAGGAAGATGTTGACGAAAGTCTGCATCATGTTGTCGGAATCGATTCTAGTAATACATGCTTCTGTATACTTCAGAGACTTAACAGTCGAGTCAACAAAAATAGAACAACCGGATCTCGTCTTTCCAATTCATATCATTTATAGATACAACGTTTTCTTTCTTTCTTTTACTTTTCTCTTTTTTTATGTGTGCTGCTTTGTTCCTCTCTTCCTAACAAACTCTATTTACAACATTCTTCTTCGTTCTTTCACACCCTGTATATCTCGATCTTTTTGTTGCCGCTTACGCCAGTAAATATACGAGCATCTACTTTTCTAACACCTTCAAACACTGATTAATTTTTGGCTTTGCTACCAACATGCCAATATGTTGTTGTCATAATGAAATGAGATTACCTTAATCTATGTAGAATTTTATTTATTGTTAATGTACTAAGTGGATGCAATACTGTAGTGAAATGCTGAGAATTCCATTCTGTATCACAAGTACTGTTTTGGAATGAAGCAAATTATTATTATTATTTTCAACAGCAAGCTGCAGAATTTCATCAACACCTTGCCTCGCTTGATACTCAAGATCAGACTGCTGGCCAGAAAGAATAAGCAAGAAAGAACTCTAGCAGTACAGCGAACCGGTCAGTAACATTTTGCTCAACATGTGCAAATGGAGTGGACATACACTAAAGAGATATTCAAGTGATATCACATGGCAGTAAAGCCTCAAGTCAAAAATGAATGGGAATGGACGAGTTTTGTGTGTATCCAAGAGTGACATGGTGGGGCCATGAAGAGAGGAAACGAAAGCTTGTGGTCAGTTAGCAAGTCATATGAAGCTGATGACAGAAAACTGTGCACAATGTAGACGTGCTTCTGTCGCCCTGTATTCCACCTGAAACTGAGAGAATGGATAAAAGTGTTGATTCAAATGGCCAGAAAAGATCAGCAACAGGGATCTCTGGCAATGAGTGAACCAACCCAGCAGGAACCGATTGTGCAACAAATAAGCAAGAAGAAACCGAGGTGGATTGGCCATACTCTGAGAAAACCATGAAGTGACGTCACACGACAGGTCATCACTCCAGTAAAAACTGAATGGGAGGCGGCGAGTTGATCGTCAGTGCGAAGGTGACATGGAGTAGGTCATGCGAAAAGAAGATAAAAACATGTGGGCAGACATGGAGCCAGGTGAAGACATTGGCGGAGAACCAAATGCAATGGAGACGAGTAGCTGAAGCTCAATGTTCCTTTAGGAACTAAAGGAAACGATAATAATAATAATAATAATAATAATAATAATAATAATAATAATAATAATAAGTGAAATATAAAATCCCAACCAAATATACTACTGATTTACCTTATTACGTGGTGTACTTTCTTGACTTTTAGACGCTTCTTGCATAAATCTATTTTTAGCTTCTGATGCCCATTTGACTGAATTTTTTGGATAATCATCTGCTAAGTCATCATCATAGCGTACTACATTATCACGACGAGTTGGTTCATTCTCATAAATTCCACTTTCTGCTGCATTAATATCTATCAACTGTAGCCAAAGAATAAAAAACAAACAATTAACAAACAGTTAATTTTAGTAATCAGAAATATTACTTTAATTTTATACTGAAAATCATTTGGTAAACCAGGGACTTTAGTAACGAACCAATCAACAATCTATTGCACAACAAATAGGCAGAAGGAAATGTAGATAGAATGAAACTTCAGTGTGATATCACGCGCCACTCAGACAATGGGGTGATCAGTATCATAGATAGCACTGAAGCTGAAACTAAGTTGAATGTTCTAAATATCTTGGATTGTGTATTTCCTCTGATCTTTCTTGATCTACCTACATTATGTTAGTCCCTAGAAAGATGCTTCATTTTAAAGTTCTATGTAAGGAAGTTGAGACAAGGTGTTATAAATCAGTCATTCCTTTTTACTTGTATTCTACCTTATTCTTCTTTATTGCCTCTCTCCCTTCCCAGCTTCATCCTCCTTGGGGTACTCAAGAAAGACTTTGTGACACTGCGAAGGGCACTAAAAGCTGTCAGTAGGATGATTGGGATGTCACTAAACCAACTTGTTAATACTGTTGTAGATAGACACTTGAACTAATCCAAGAAATTAACGAATATTATTGCGTGGGTCTCTTAGCCTCCTTTTTATGCAAGACTCTCTTCTTGCATTTCATTAGGTAAGAAGAGCTAAAAGCAACTATAAAAAACTTTATGTCCGGATGACTAAGTATAAAAACTATATGATTTTTTTAAGTGTTGACTTGTAGGGATGTAACAACAGAAGACAAGGGCCGGCAACAGATCGTTTTATTACGGAGATCAACACGTATTTATATATATTTCATGTACATTATTATAGTTTGTTCAAGTAGAAAAACGCAGTCTTCTGATTGGTTGTTTTAGATAACCATCGAAAAGTAGAGCCATCTATCTGCGAATCATATTTACTCACGTTAAGTTTGCTGTGATTGGTTGTTGAATCAGCCTTGCTCATATTTTCTCACGGCTAATATTAGTGACCTAGACATTGACGTAGATTAATGTCTACCAATTGGCTAGCAGCCTGCCCTCACCACAGGGATTTGATTGGTTACAGGATTTCATCATGAGAACCACTGGAAAACCTGGGAGTACTGGACGGCTGTTTCGCCCTAGTTTGGGACTCTTCAGCAATACATATCCACCGGGGTTTGAACCCAGCATCTTCTGGTTACAAGGCGAGCTCGTACACCATTAAGCCACTGGGACCGGATCCAATGACCCATGAATTCTAACTTCTGACAATTCACGATATAGCGCAACCGTTAGCCAATGCCTTCGGCGAGTATTTCTCCTCACACCTGACCTTCTGCACCCTACTGGTCGTGACTTCTCACTAGAACCCCAGGTAACTACCTACCTGGATGGGGCAAGTCGCTAGTGAGCATCTCATCGATACTTAAGTGTTGGTTTGTAGGGATTCAATTGGTTGTAGGATTTCATCATGAGTTGATATTAGTTAGAGAACCATTGGAAAATGTATCAGAAGTTTACACTGCCGAATAGTTCTAATATTGAAGAGGTGGATTACATGTGGAGTCCTTATTTTTAGTATCCAAAGACTAATTTAACCATGGTGTACCAACAGATTGAAATTCAACTTGATCATATCGCAATGACAGCGGACAAGGGCCAGGCAACCGATCGTTTATTGAGAAAATCAAGAGATATTTATAGATTTTTATGTATATTATTGTTAGTGGAAAAGCAACGTGTTCTGACTGGTTGTTTTCTTGCTGAAAGTTATTCTGTAAAATTGTGATTTTTCTTTTGCTTTTTTTAATTTTTAATTTTACTTTTAGTTTGCTTTTGCCTTAATAATTAACTCACTATTATCACTCTCATATGTTCCTTTTCACACCGTCTTCACACTTGTTAGATTGACACTCAACTACCTTTATTCTCACTCAATAGCAATTTTAACCTCATCAAATTTCTTTCTTTGTGCCGTAAAGTACTATGCAATTTACAACTTTTAATTTTTACTTATACAGCCACTTCCAAATAACTGCATCAATTATGTCACCCCCTCTTACTCAGTAATAGATTACTATACATTTTTGGTAAGTATAAATACGAATGGACAGCCTCTGAAGAGGATTTCATCGATAAGGCAAATTTTCTTCGCTGAATTTGTCTTTTATTTTCTTCATGACTCAACGGGTATTTTAGGTAATTTATCCTGTAATGCTTATGACCGTTTCTTTGAAAGTTCAGCCATATATCTGTGAATCCTATTTGCACACGTTAAGTCTGCTGTGATTGACTGGTGAGATCTTCAAGGTTAGCCCTTGTTACTGTTTTTTCTCATCAACGTGATTCGGGATGTAAACATAGACGTAAATTGCTGTCTACAATTTTTGGCTTGCAGACAGCTCTCACCACAGTATAACTAAGAGGCAGTCATGATTCATTAAAATTATTATAAGTATTGATGCTGTTTCATAGATGTTTCTGGAGGGCTGTTTAAATCAATGGGTTACACGTGTTTTTATCAAGCATACTAAATCTAATTTTTCTCCATTTCTTCTTGGTTTTGCTCTTTAAATCACGTCCTTTGAATTGAGACATGAACTCACACGAATTTTTAATTGACTTTCGACTTACCTATGTGCACTTAAACAAGAAAATGAAAGAGATGTAGAAATGATCGAGTTTTGTTTTTGACACAACGGTGTTGCGTTATACAACACACTATCAGTCGATATTTACTCGACGATTCTATACAGGAAGCAGATATTCTGCAAGGAATTACGCTGAGTATTCTGTCATATGTTTAAACATAATTTCCAGAATAAAATTGACAGTATTATTACTATTACTACTATATAACTTACGCGTCGGCGGCATAGCGGTTAGGACGCTCGCCGACCACGCATTTGGTCCGGGGTTCGATCACCGGCCACAGACGCACTCCTTTACCTCGCTAAGCCGGATTTAATGCTGGTAAAGAGGAAAGGTTGGGCATGAGACTGGCAACCCTATCCTGTAAAAATAAACACTGCTACAGGAACTTCAAGCCACTAGTTTGAAGCCCTATGTTCCACTGGGAACGTGAAGGAAAAATAACTTACTTTTATACTATCTCTTTTCACAACAGAAGCATCAGCTGCCTTCTTCAAGAATAACTCCCTTCTTTCTTTAGCACTGACACCAGATGGTAAATCTTTCTTTGTATCACCAGCTCTAGCAATATTTTCAAATTTCTCAGGTTCATTTTCGTATACACCACCATAACCCTGAATAGTAATGAAAATAATAGTGGAAATTGAAGACGTATTTACTTAAAATGATGTCACGATGTGCAGCTTACTGTTCTATTCTCTGATGAGAATGCTAAAATTTTGTTTATGTAGAATCATATATGATAATACCACATAGCAAGTGATTCACAATGGAAAGCTCAATGAAGACAAGTGTAAGACAAAGCTGCCTACCGTCATCGATTGTATTCCTCATTGTGATGGGCTGAATCATGTGGTACACCGTGGAGAGAGGGAGTAAGAATACGAAGAACAGGTTAAGACACTCTAGAAGATCTTGAGTTCGTAAGTTATAGATGTTTTATGTGACACAAAATCGAAGATCCACAGGCGAAAACCAACAAGCTGGAAGAAGCGGTAAAGATAGGACTTCAAGATCGACAAGGGGAAAACAGAGATGATGACAATACCTAGCCCCCAGTAACAAGCATAAGTCATCATCAACGGAAGAAATCTAAAGGATGTAACCTCTTCCACTTACTTAGGTAGAATCATTTCAACTACCGGCGGCAAACATCAAACCATCATCATCAAATCAATGTGCACCGTGATGGCGAGCTAGCTAGAACGGTGGTCACATTACAACCTGACTGATAGAATTCAGTCTACACCAATTAGAGGACTAGACGCATCACACTGGTTACTAGTGTCAAATCAAAATATCAGAAAATCGAGATAGAGCTTTATTGAGCTGAAAATATGCCGCACTCATCATACTCAACCGAACTTGGATCTTCAAAACTAAATATCAAGTTAGTGAATTCTTCCGTATGATTCAGAGACTTGATGCTTCAGGAAAAGCATTCCTAGCAGGCTACTGAAAACTTTTACCAACATCTTCCTTTGCTCCATACTGAAGATCACATGACCAGAAAGCACTAACGACAAGAAACTCTTGCAATGAAGTAACCAACAACTATGCAGACGTAAATGAAGGTGTACTGAATATAAGCTTAGGAAACATTCAAGTGACATCACACGCCAGTGTGTGAATACGTACGGAAAGTGACCAGTTGGTCGTCCAAGGGTGGTTACATGGATACCATATGAGGAGGAAATGATGGCTGGTGGGCAATCCCGGATTCAGCTGCTAAAGACTGCAGACAACTGATGCATCCTCTAGAAGCTCTGTATATCCCACTGGGAACCCAGGGGACCAATTATAATAACGAATCATACATACTACTAAAAATGTAAAGTAAGTAGGCAAAGTAATATGCTAAATTATATGGTGAAATACGGAATTTTCATGTCAGTGTCACTTTAAAGCAACTTTGCGACTCAGTTTGACAGTGATAAGTTAAATGAGTTATTATGTGTGCTATTCTTCCAAGAATTCGTATGGGGAGTGGCAGGTTGAGTGTCGAAGGATGAAATAGAGGAGATAATGGGAAGACAAACTGGGGCTTGGGGTGAGTTGTTGAGCCAGTTAAAACTGATAGAAAATAACCAACAAGAATGGAAATGTGATGCTGTAATCCTATGTACCACTCGAAACCCAAGGAATACCTGACTAACAGTAAAGTAATAATAACACGTGGAGTAACTGAAGATCCTGTATGAAGCCGATAAATTTTAATAGACAATATTTAAATCCTTGACCATTTTGTCAAAATGGATTGACTTGAGAGGTGTAGAAAATTCAATATAAGACTTTGTGATATATTGGAGATAATTCTGACGGAAGATAGTAGTTGATATGAGATGGATAATTGCAGCAATTAGCAAGGGAAGCAGGATGGCTTTAAACATAATACTCTGAATAGATAAATTCCCTGGGAATCTTAAAAATTATCGTCACCAAGTGATGCAACAGTTTGAATGATTGAGGAAGAAGGCTTTTCTTAAGAAATTTCATACACAAATTATGCCTACTGAATTAGAACAAAGCAGTAACAACGCATGCAGCTGCATGTGGATTAATTACATTTTATTTATACTTTATTTCTTTGAGTTCAGAGTGGAACGTAGGGCTTGAAGCTGGAGCTTTAAAGCCTCAGTAGGAGTGGCTTTTTATGAGGTATAGTTGCTAGCCCCGCACCCGACCTTCCTTCTTTATCGGCCTTAATACCGGCTAAGCGAGGTATAGAAGTGTGTTGACCGTGGATCGGACCCAAAACCACTTGCTTGGGTCACCAGTTTCTGGAATAAACACTAAATCCACCTATCATGTAATATAATCAGATTAACTTATTGAAACCCAATCAAGTGAATAAAAAATGCATCAATGTAATTACTTACTTCATGTATATCAAGTTTTGCACGTTCTGATGAAATATCTTTATCTGCTTTTCCACTTTCAATATCTTTCCAACGTGCTCTAGCAGTTCTTGTTGCTTCTGGTGCAACTGTAATTGATTCATCAATAAATGAACTTTTTTTACGATTTTCTTCATCCAAACTCTATTTATGTGTAAAATATAATTCAATAAGAAAAATAAAATAAATTTAGCATCGTAAAAAAGGTAGATTGAGTGAAATAATTAATTAGTCTTGTTCATTAGACTTGTTTTAATTTTGCAGGGAAACAGGAATTATTTGGCAGTGTGTTCAAATCACTGAGCTACCTAAATTTTCTACGTATCAAAATGCGTTATATTTACTCCGCCTCATACTTTTTCAATTATCTAATTGCCACAATGAGTCACAGCTCATACTCACTAATTATTTCAAATAAGTTTCTACGTTACAGTAGGAATTTCTACAAGGGAATGGGAGGAGAACATTGTGAAGTAGTACTTGAGCACACTTCAGGTGGAATAATACTGCTTCAGATGATATATTATCGAATATTAGATTATCTGAAGATTCTCCACAAGGAGTAAATATCTTGTAACGAAACCTGCTGAGAATGCTGTATTGTCTGTAAATGCGTTCTTCAGGATAAAGCTATTATTATTATAATATTATTATTAAATAAATTTCAATAAAATGAGAGTTTGAGTTAAGCCGTTCTGGATTACTATTTTTTATTTTCATAGTGTACTGATATACAGTGTTGTATTCATTAATTCGCGAACATTTTACCTCCTATTTAATGCCTGTTCGCTGTTCAGTGAATGACTTATTAAGTCATAATTAAACTGTCTCACTTGCTTTTTCCGTATGTATATGATACCTACGTATATTTCTACTTTTCTTGTTTGTTCTTCATGTTCCATTTTCTCCCATGACTTTAAACCCCCTCCACACCTACTACAAAATTTCCCTTCCTTTTCAGTTGATTTTCCCGAAGTTACTTTCGGTTTCAGGCCTAGCTCACTGCTTCCTATTCGGGACCCACTTGAGGGACTGATTAGCGTATGACACTACTGAGCGGTCGCCTCAGTGTACCTTCAGTCCAACTTCATTTCTTTTGGCATATTTGTGGGATAATAGCTCATTGGTACCCCTGCTGCCAGAGTTCCCGGTTGCTTATCCGTCTGATCTTCATTATGGATTGAAGGCGACTAGCTGTTAATTACAGTTTACAGCAGAACATCTGAAATGCCCTTCGTGGTGAGTGCAACAAATCTCTAATGCAAACAGAAGTCAAGACATTATTATGGCGTTGGAAATCTAGATATTCTTCCTTCCGATGTGAGAGGGAATTAGGTATGAGCACAGTCGGGAATCCAAATATAGTCCTTCAGTATCGTAGTATATACATTTCACAAGTCAACTCCTGATAGACAAGTATGTGAGTGCTCTGTGATGAAAAGAAGAAAGACAGATAAATTCAAGAGATGAATACGCACTGCAATATTATTTTTGGGTGGCCATTTTACACCATTACTGTAAGTGTAACTGTTGATATGCAATTTTAAAATGCTAACTAATCTACCATCGGTTATATGAATTGTCTTCTGTAATAAAAATGAAGATCGAACAGGGCCCTGAATTTCTGACGCTTTAAATTCCCCAAATGAATCATTTCTGACTTGTGTCATACATAGAAAAAGATTCAAAACATGTTGGTTAGCAAGGATTCGATTGATTTCGAGTTTATTCACAAACTGATTCCAGTTAGCGAACCTCTGAAGACGAAGAAGTACTTGGCTGATGTCCCGTCCCAGTTTGAGAGTCTTCAGCAGCACGCATCCATGACACCATTGAGGACTGAACACAGGACCTTTAAATTATGATATGAATCATTTGACCATTTCGCCAATAAAACGGAATTCTAACTTCTGACAGTTCGCGAAATATTGCTCAGCTGCCAGCTAATACCATCAGCGAGTATCTTTTCTTACACCCAACTTGGTGGAACCCACTAGTCATGACTTCCAGCTAGAGTTGCAGGCGATTTCATCCTGCATCCAGTCACTAGTAAGAACTAGGTTAATATCCAAGTGTTAGTTTACACAGGCATTTGGTTGGTTCAAAGTCAGATCACGAAATGACCTCTGGTATGATCAAAGGGATGTACTGACGAAGAGCTCAGTACAGGGACAAGGCAACTACTCATTACTTCCTGATTTTCAATGATTCTCTAACTGAAGTAAGTTCGTGATTACTTCTGAAATTTTTATTGTTAACGCCTTTGTAAGATACATTTACATCTTATTATACACTGATCAAAACATCCACAAATAGATTCCCAGAAAACTTGTAAACAAAAATTATTATTAAAAAAAATTTAAAAAAACCTACCTGTCCACCAGTAGCTTCCATATTTTTAAATTTAGCTCTTAAATTTTTTGTTTTCTCACTGATTTCTTTCAAGTCTACCGGTTCAAACATATCATCCGAGGTGATAACATCTGGTGCTCTTGGTTTTGGATTACTCTCCAAGATACCGACAGCAACACCATCTGGTGGAGGTGTAAACTCTTTCTGTTTTTTCGGCCCATTTTCTGTATTCCCCATTGTGGCTTTTGTAGCCTCTTCAATAAACTTTGTCTTAGCTGATTCTACACCAGCATATTTCATTTTAGGTGCAGATTTCTTCTTGGTTTTCTTCTTGTCATTATTAACTTCACCAGATTCAAATTTATTTCTTATATTACCCATTCGTCCACCACTGAGATTTGATGTTCTTCTTTCAGAGTCACCTTTTTGTTTGTTATCTATAAATCACACAAAATTCAGTGAAGTGGGACTAGTATAACAGATGGATTCCACACATGCAATTAATCTAGAACTAGGCAAGCTTTCAACAGGCAACTTTTGCAAATGAAACTTATTTCTCTAAAATAAAATTGATAGTTTGGCTTTTTTCATGGATCTTTTTTCTTCATTTGTTTGAGCCTTGAATGGAACATAGGGCTTCAAGTTTTAGGCTTTGAGTTTCTATCAGTGATTTCCTTGTTTGTAAGGGGTTGAGCTGCTGTCCACGCATTCAACGTTCCTTCTTTTCCTGGGCTTGCTGTTGGCTAGTAATCTAGTCGAGGTTTAGGAGTGTGTTAGCCAGGAATTGAACCCTTACCTCCTGGATGGCTGGTGAGTACTCAACTATTGTGCCAACGAGTCGCTAAGTTCATATCACCCAGTATTTACAGCCCTTCATGTATGGGAGTGCCAACTTGGCTTAATGTTGTCTAACTTAAGTGATCCGTCCAGTAAACTTTTGAAAGAAATACTTATAACTTCAATAAAAATTGAAAACTATAACTCAGAGAAATAGTGTTATATTAATTTATTTCGGCTGTTCACATCAGTAACTTGTAGTCTAAAACTTGTATTATAAAAATGAGGGAAAAATGATGAACTACCCAAGTCAGGTTTTTAAGCATAAATAAAACTGATGGATTGAAAAGTAAATGAGTAAGTAAGCAGGTAAGTAATTTGCCTGGAATCCTATTGGTTAGGTACTAGTCCAATGATTGAATAGTTAAATGCCATATTCATACTTAAAAAGGATAATTTTTTAATAATGTAAATATACTAGACAATCACATGCACAGATTTCCTTCAATGAATTTGAATGGAGTAATGACAATACACAAACTTGAAGATATACAAGTGTAAACCAACAAGTTAACAAAAGAGGCAGAGAAGACGCGATTTCAAATGAACACATACCCAGTCGACAAGAAAAAATCTGAAGGAAGTGACCTTTGCACTTACGTGACCTAGGCATTGTCGTTTCGAGTATAGGTACCATGGATGATGAAGATGTCCGGGATTGGATTGGGAGAGCATGTTAGCCGTTCATTACTCTTAAGTCAGTATGGACGTCAACAAAACTTAGTACAAGGGACAAAACTTGAATTTTTAAACATTAATGCCAAATTAGTCAGCGATTTTGTAGCCTTGCGACTTGTTGTACACGTTACTAAAAGCATTTCCGAAAACCTGTTGCAGACTTTCAGCAATACCTGCCTTTACTGAGTCGATACCGATGATCATATGGCTGGCCAGAAACGATAAGACCTTCAAATGACATCACACACCAACCAAACTGCCGAGTGGAATCCGAATAGGAAACGACAAATTTAGTGTGTATCTGAAAGTGACATGGAGATCATATGAAGAGGACATCATTGTGTAGGGTGTTTCCTGAAACTAGATTGGTTCCTTTGTACCAAATAACATATTTATTAGTCTATTCAAAAGTCGACAGAAACCTTTTCTTTGTTACTTCTATTTGTGTCGTTGCTGATGCAGACACATCAAAAGAATTTATATTTCATGAACACATAATGAAGAATCTACAATTAAAAAGGAGTACAACTCTGAACAATGCAGCCACATAGCATCAAATTAACACACGATACCAGGTTAACATCTTGAATTCTTTCATACAAGCAAGTATCATCTAGTCTGTTGAAGTTCACAGAGACCATAACTATCAAACAATTAAAGCCTCATTCAGGTATTCAAGAGCAAGTTGCAAGTAGTCTTTCTCAATCTTGATAACCTTATTCGTCACCTTTGACTGATTATATTATCTTTTATTAAATGTAAGTGTTAATTTCTCCTCACTTTTACTTAGTGATATCATGATTCATCAAACCCTAAGCTTCTTATGTCTAACATCTAACTTACTGAGCATTTCTTCACTATACGCATTTTGTCTATTGTGTTTACTGACAATCTCTAGTGAGTTACGTAATCTTACATTTTCCCCCTGAATTTCTTAATATTACCGTAGCCTCTTTTCTCGGAAAACGGTAACTCTAAACACTGCTGATCCAGGCAGATGGATGTAATGACTCTAATTAACTAATCAGTTGAACCTGTAGTAAATATGCGTAACTTGAAAAACTCTTTTATAGACATCAAAGTCAGAGTTAAAAAATAGTTATACTAGGTAACCTTCTCGTATGTGTCTCAAGAAGATCTCCTAATTCCTTATTGGAGGCTTTATTAATAGTCAAAGCCCATTTCTGTACATAAATTCACCCAGATAACTGCGCATCATGCTGTTTCGTGACCCGTTCATTTCTCCGCAGCACCTATGAACCTAATAAAGGAAAGATAAACCTTCTAGCACAGATTTTCTGTAACGGAAGGTTAGACATCTGTACACATATCCATCACCAGGGGCTGTACACTTTTGTAAAAATATTACTTCTCCACATCTACAAGCTTCCTATGAGCCTATTATCCCTATAGCAGTACTCAAGTACTACCTTCCGATGGAAATGGTAACGTAATTCATGTACCACATCTACGTTTCCACGTTTTTAGTATGGGGCCATTAGATTTGTTGATCAAGGTCATTACGTCCGTTTACTTGGGTCCTTCGTTTGGGTGGCTAATATTCAGAGTTAACCGAAAAACTTCAACTGCATCACAGTGTATTACAGCGATTCTTTATATTTTGCCATCTTCATATTATGATTCATATATATACCATGACCATTCTTAATCATTGTTTGACATTTATTTCTCTCCGGAGATCGAGCCCCGGACCATGTGCATGGTCGGCGAGAGTCCTAACCGCTATACCACCGACGCACAAAAAAATGAACTGAAGTATGTCAAAGTCGTAATAAAGCCGCTAAATCTCGTTACTGAAGTCATAGAAAATTGAAAGGATATGGATGAAGTAGAATGGATCCGTTTCATCTTGACTGATGCGTTATTCCTCAATTTATAAAAGTATTATGAAATGACATAGATGGATTCCACCTTTCAAGAGACCTTAACTTCTGTCTAATAACTAACAGTGATTGTTTATTAAACTGTATCTATATACATCTGCTTAATGTTTTAACATGCAGACTGTCGGATTATGAGTTAAAGTCAAGTATGAAATAAAGCTTCCTGTTATATCCTTAGTTGACATAGCTTTCTTAAGATGAATAATGGCCATATATATATATATATATATATATATATATATATATACCTTCACTAGTTCATTTTCTTAATCATTAAACTTTTCATACTGTAGTATTTGTGAAGATTGTGACTAGCTTTAATGTGAATTTTGTCACGAACCAAAATCATTAAAAAAACATTCATTACTGAACATAAGTTTTGACCTAGTTTAGAACTCTCCAGTACTTCACTTCTATGACCCCACCCGCGGTTTAATCCAGCAACTTCACTGGAAATCGCCTCGACTTTTGAAATTTCAATAACGATGCCGCTGCAAGTACTGGATTGCATATTTGTAAACAGTCGCAAACTAGAATGAAACCACTATCTAGTTTACCTTGATTTTCAAAGATTCTCAAAATGACCTACTGTTGATTACTACCTGAGTTTATCACCGATTTTCGCAATCTTATTCAGTTAAAAACTGTACCCAATTAACTATTGTAATAAGTTCATTTAATCAATTTTGAAAATTTAAGACTGTGAGTAATTTTAAACAATAAGTCTCCCTTGATGAGGAGGCGGCCTGTCTAAAACTTAGGCTACCAAAAACCTCCATCACTATACTGCATATGATTTCTCTTCTTCAGTTTGTTTTAACTGATTATAATATGATCTTCAATGGTATTATTTACTCTTGCGAGTATTTAAAATGTTTACAACGTGCTGATTCACCAGTTTCTACTAAACCTGAGAAAAAGCTTAATTTTGGGTAGCAGTGTTTCCCAGCACACAAGACAACTGCTTATGAGTTGTCTTCTGGGTTCTCAAAATGTAATTCGAAACCTCTTATGAACGGCATTCCACCACGCGTCGGTGGCACAGCGGTTAGGACTCTCGCCGACCATGCACGTGGCCTGGGGTTCAGGCCCCTGACGACGCACACTTGAAATCAGTGATTGGCCTGCAAAATTCGGGCTACCGATATCACATGCTGAAAATTCCATACTTGTACCGAAAATACGGCGTGGAACCAAGCTTTAATCAAAATAAATAAGTATCTCGCATTTCTTTCAGAAAACAAAGAAGACGTATCATAATCAATTGGATTCTCCATCAGGTTAGACAGCACTGTATCATATAATCTACCATGAACTAATATTATATTTGAAGACTCTAGATGAAGAGTAAATATCTTGCAATAAACTCCTCTGAAAATCCTTTACATTTTACAAACACCGTTCAGGATAGAGCTATTATTATTGTTATTTTGCAATCACATAATGAATATATTGGTGCGATTCTAGACTTAATCGGCAAGATATCAAGACTCTTCAATGATAGAATTTCTGACATTCGTAACGACCTTGTTAGATATGATAATAATCATCTCTTACGTATACTCATCAACAAATTAGATAACGATTGAAATACGGCAGATATTTTCCTCAATTACTGCAAACTACTTATATCCAATAATCAGTAATCAGAAAAGTTCTCAACATATCTCAATATTTTCATATTACAGAAACTGACCCAATAGCTTGATAGCCAGTGTTACGAAATGTGTTTTTTTGACTGATCTCCATGAAGGAAAGGAAACCACGACAACACTAAATAATAATATGTTCTCCTTGCCGTCTGACTTGTTGACCTGATTTCTTACATCGTTACAGGTGAAAGATATGTCGACCAGATATAAACTGAAATGAAACAGTCTTCAACTAGATTCCTACTAACCTTTATTCCTTTCAGCTGAATCGAATATCTATACTGATTCTATTTAAGTGTTTGTTACAGATAACCTTGGTTTGTTTTATTTAAAGATAAACAGCGCTATTCACTGGTTTTTAGGATATTGTTTTATTTCAAAAAAAAATTAAATTTACTATTCAGTTTTCAGCACTGAGGGAGAAACAAAAAGCCTTCATGTGATATAATCTAGTGACATATGATCCCTTAAGAAGAACTGTTTAATAGAATCATGTTTTATAGGTACACTACTATTGTTACTATTACTATGACAACAGCAAACTACTACTACTACTATTATCGAAAAATGGTTTTGACAATTCGATTTTCAGAATTCTCTTTCACATTTTCGGTAGTTCTTTATCCACACTCACTTAATTAATCATGAACAGAGGAATACACAGATGTTTAAAATGTAGAAAATAGAGAGATTCAGAAGTAAATAGGATAAAGAAAGGTAACGCGGAATGCTTAATTATAATGTATCAAGTGAATGTCATATGATCTTTATTATTTGTTTAATTTTTTTTTCAAAAGTTAAAAAGCAAAACATGCATATCCTTGCAAAAAAATGTGACACCAACCAAATATACGTTTTTTTCTGTACTTCAAAATATAGGTAAAAACTTGCAAAAGGAGAGGAACTTTTCCAACCAGTTGACGATAATATAACTGATAATTTACACAGTTGCCCAGTACCTTATATTTCTAACGTGAATATCAACAAAATACGGTTATTCTATCCAACTGGTGGATGGTGGCTAGCAGTGGAATCCAGAACAAAGCGCATTTCGTCCTATTTGTGACTCATCATCTGGATGTACCTGCATTTCTCAGTGAGTGATGATGTTCTCAAAGAGGCTCGATCCCAGTACCCATAGTTCCAAACGCCGAGCACTTTGGTCCAATCAATCGACGGGTAAATCAAAATTCAATTCAATGGTTATTCTATCATTTAATATATTACTGTATTATGAAGCTATAACTATGATCAACATCAACAGCAACAACAACAGACAACAATCAGCCAGCGTAAATGGGAGGAACCTGAAAGAAACAGCCTCCTTTACCTACCTGGGAAGCATCGTTTCAACTACAGACCAGCGGAACTGACGAGGATATCAAAGCCAGAATCGGAAAAGCAAGACAAGCTTTCATTACTCTCAAATCTGTGTGGAGGTCAACAGCACTCAGCATCAAAAATAATATCCGGATTTTCAACTCCAATGTGAAGTCAGTCAGTGCTACTCACTATACGGATCAGAGACTTGGCGCGTCATAAAGAGCACCTCAAACAAACTGCAGACCTTCATCAACAGATGTCTTCGCTCAATACTACTCAAGATCAGATGGCCGGCCAGAAAAGATCAGCAACAGGGATCTCTGGCAGTGAGTGAACCAATCAGGAACCGATTGTGAAACAAATATGAAGGAAGAAATGGAGATGGATTGGCCACACTCTGAGGAAACCATCAAGTGACATCACTAGACAAGCCTCGAGTGGAACCCGAAAGAGAGGCGGCGAGTTGGTCGTCAGTGCAAGGGTGACTTGGAGGAGGTCATGCGAGGAGGAGATGAAAGCATGTGGACAGCCCTGGAGCGGGGTGAAGAAGTTGTCAGAAAACAGAAGGCAATGGAGGTGAGCAGCTGAAGCCGTATGTTCCTCTAGGAACTAAAGGATACAATAATAATAATAACTACAATGTTATGTAAAACTACCGATTAGCTGATTGATGGATCGAGTGGTCTGAACTGATTTGGTTGTTTTGGTCTTCAGTCAAATTGAGTTGACGGCTGATGAGCTAGGTCCGAAACTAGTGGAATGGCCATCCGATGTTGAGATCACTTGTATACATCTGGCTGTGCGTCGTTGGCACAGTGGTAGGATGCTTGCCAACCACGCATGTAGTCTGGGGTTTGATCCCAAGCCAACGCACCCCTTTACCTCGCTAAGCCAGTGATAAGACTGGTAAAGAGAGAAGGTTTAGCATGAGGCTAGCAACAACATCCCATAAAAATAAACGCCACTACTACTGAAACTTCAAGACTCTGGCTTGAAGCCCTATGTTCCACTGGGAACGTAAAGGAATAAAAGAAATATCTATCTAGCTGACTAGCAAGCTATTGCTGGTTGACGTGAGTTGGATAGAACTACTCATCTCAATCAATCAGTAGTATGAAGTTCTATGCATTTATGCTTGGTTTCTTGATTTCGTTTCCAAATGAAACTGTGAAGTTATCTTACTTTAAACTGTGTAGATTACAAACTAATTTGCAAACTATAAATTAAATCTATACAATAATAATAATTATTATTATTACCATTATTGTAATTACGAAATCAACCGTTATTTTTTAGCTAGTGGAACTAAAACGCCGTCATTTTTTGAAATTCCCCTACCTTCCTAGTGGAATGTAGGGCTCCAAGCCAGAGGCTTGAAGTTTCTGTAGCAGTGGTGATTATTTTTACAAGTTGGGGTTGATATACTCATGACCAACCTTTCCTCTTCGCCAGTCTTATTACTGCCTTAACGAGGTAAAGGAATGCGTCTGTGGCCGGGGATTGAACCCCGGACCACCTGTGGCGTGGTTGACGAGCATCCTACCGCTGTACCACGGAGGCACTAAAAAACGCCATCATGCAACATTCAAATATGAGTTGTTGTCATTCACTGGCACTTATGGTATCAAGCGGAACGATCATATATTGTGATGTGAATATTTTTTGACTTCACAAAGCAAACTATGAGTGGTAAATTCTCACCTTGAATTGTGTAATTGGTAAATGTGGTATGTGATGCTTTGTATTACTAGTTCTTCTAAATAATTATTTAATCGAAACTGGAAAACTCCTCATAAGCCTAAACTTAAACAAGTCAAACGGCCATCCAGCTGGTACTCAGTTCACTTCAATTTAACTAGCAAGCACTACTGTTTTCAAATAACGATACCAATCAGTCACCAGCATTTATCATCATATTGCTCCGCCTATTTTCCTAATTACCATTTACTGTATCATGAAAATCATTCATTGTATTCTGAATTATTTCGCATTTCGAAAGAAACCGTGATAAATCTTCATCTCATATTGCATAATTAGTAAATAGTGAATTTGAAATTGATGAAGAAATTTACAAAATGGCCTTAGTGGATTTATAGTCATGCCTCTTACTTTAGCTTTTATTTTTACTAGTTTACATCTCTATTGCTCACTATTGGTTTACTACAAGACGAAGTTGTTCAGAGTTCTAGTGAAAAGTCATCATCAGTGTGTGACTACAAATGTCTCCCCTGAAGACACTGATTCACACTGCTGCTCTATAAATCGCGAAATGGCAGACGTAAAGATTCATGAGCCAGTCATTAAATTCTCTCCCAGTGGCTGAACCGTCTTAGATTGATTCACCTTCTAACGTAAAGGCCATGGGTCCAACCAGATGTTGGGTCAGTACTGATGAATAGTCTCAAACTAGGACAAAATGACTAGTCTTCACTGGTTCTCTAACTGATGTCTACGCATGATTTAAATTGAGATCAATACAGTTCCTACAAACCAACACCATATATTAAAGTACCCTATTTTAGTTACTTCGGTCCCATTCAGTCAACAGTGAATCTAATAGTTTTTCATTCACGTATCAGTAGGACAGTGATCACTAAAACTATCCACTTAGTTATGAAAGATATGTGTGAGCTGAGGATATTCGGTTTATACATTATTTTCGAAGATTTACTGTTTGTTTTCACATTGACATTAACGTAGACTGAACAATCAATATATATATGTAGAAGTGTTTGTGATTTGTACAGTCGTTTTCGATAAAAGACATATTTGCTCTCTGCTCACTCTGTTTTTCATCCTTCGCATCACAAATGGAATATAAGGCTTCAGGCTTTGAAATTTCAGTAGAGGTGATTTTGTTGTTAACCCCCTCCCCCCATCAATCCTTCCTTTTTTTACTGGCTTCCTGCCTACTAGTAATTCAAGCGAGGTTTAGGATTACGTCGGAGGGATGGGTGTGGAATTCGGACGGCGAGGTGGTGACTGGCGAACATTTTACTCACTGAACTCTACATATCCTACATTACCATTTATAATATCTTCAAAAAACATAAGCATGCTCATTCAGATACATGTATATAACATGCACACTTCGGTATCCATGCGTTAACTAACTAACTAACTAACTAAAACATGCAGAACAGGTTTCAGCTAAGATCACATTCACACATACCGTTATTCTCTTGTGTCGACGGTGTTGTCGTGGCTGTTGGTGTTGATGAAGTTTTATCTATTAAAGATGAAAAAAATAATTACTTGAAGTTCATCATTTCTATGGTACGATATGTGAGAGGGAAGAAGAGAGTTAACTCTTTATTTGTTTCATTTAAAAATAAATTTCCCTTTTAATTCATTCCAAATAAGCATATACAATATAAATAATACATAAACATGCATTAATAAAGCATGCAGGATTGAACATTGACACTTTATTATCATTACTATGTGTTCAATGTGTCAATAGTTGTTATTATTGTCATTATTATTATTATTATTATTATTATTATTATTATTATTATCAGCCTCAACCTCCATTGCTGAAATATAAAATAAAATGTGTATATATACAAACAAAGAAGTAATAGGGAAAATGCTCTGAAGTGAGAAAATGTGGTGGTTTGTCTTTCCTTAGAATAGAGAAGAACACAGAAACCTTTTTCTTGATCAATTATCAACATATGAAATATCAACAAACAAACGCACGAAGTGGTGAATAAAAAAGTTTCTTTCTTTCAACTATCCTGAATAGAAGAGGTAATAAGTACATTGAGAGTGTGGTAGATGATGACTTCCAATCATTTGTTGTATTGAATGCCTCTTTTTCTCTCCTCCTTTTTTATTTGTGCAATTGTTAGTGGAAGAAGTTAGATAGATCATTTCAACTGTACATCAGTATTGTCCAAATTATATTGATAGTGGACTGCACAACACCAATAACCATTTTGAAAAATTGCACTTTTATCACTGAAATTAAATATAGAAGAAAAACAGAGGTTGATTGAGGATATATATGTAGGTCAATGAACAATATCAGACACAGTACTTATTATTATTATTATCGGTATTAGTCATCCCTTGCATTCCGAGTGGAACGTAGAACCTGAGCAACACATCTGCACTGTACTCGCTCCTCTTTCATCACTCTCAGTTGGTTGGACAACCGGCCACAAACCTTCATGTCATCTTCATATTGTCTTCCCTACGTTACTCTCAGATCCATAACGTACCTGTTACTCTACTTTCGAGTTTCATTCGAGGATCTGACCTATGCATATTATCGCTTGAAGGCTTCTTCAGGGCTTGTCCAATCCATATCCATTCCCTTCGGAATACCTGTTCAATAACAGGTTGTTGGTTGGTCTACCGACGTAACCGCTCCTTCTTGTTTGCCTTTCCTTTGTTGTCGGTCATCTCATATATCCAGTGTTGAGCGACTACAGGTGTTAAAGAAAATCTGCTGTTTTATTGTAAACCTCATTCATAATTAACCAAGCCCGTGAACTATATGACAATACTGGCTTGACTTAAATGTTGAAAATTAGGATCTCATCCCGTGTGTTAAGTTCTGAGTACAGCAGATCATGATACTAATTTTAGAGTATGTTTTCATGAACCCATTCTAGTTGTCCTTGACATCCTCATGTTTGAGGAATGCCAGTGAAATTATGCTACTCTCAAATTCATTTGAAAGCATCCTGTAAGTTAATACTATCGGTGTAAAACTTTTCACTGACGTAGTTATCATAATGTCATATTACCTGTTCATATAGATCGTACATAATAGTATATGTATGTACGTTTAGTGTTGATATCGCATGTAACTGTGAGGATTCTAATTGTCCTTTTAGATCAAGTGAGCTTTTAGAACTTGTCATGAGCTCATTACCCATCTCTCTTTATGCCCCTGAATGTAACTGGTCGTTTCTGGAGGTTTACTCACCCTCTCTTCCAACTTGTCTAAGTATTTGTTATTTCTTGGCCCAATAACTGCCCTTCTATCCATGTGGTCTATATCAGTACGTCTATTAATTACAGATTCGTCTGAGTACCAGGCTTCTAGAAGCTCTCTGGCAGTAATGCTATTTTAACTGGAAACAACCAATCAACTCTAAGGTTACCAAGAATGATTGATAGTAAGCTGATGGGAAATTCTAAAACTGCACTTTATTTTGAAGACATCGCTGGACATGCTGTCTAGAAAGATAATAAAAACTTCCAAAATAAACTATCCATTTCAGAAGATGGAGCTATCAAACTGATGAAAAACATGGATTACAGTATGATTTTTTACATGCAACCTTGAATCTGAACTGAAACTACTGTCTAGATCATGACAGAATCAAAAGTCTTCAAATTATCTATCTGCGTCTCATTTTCCATCTGGTAGGCAAGTCATCTGTTAGATAAACTTATCTGATGCAACACATAGTGACGATGTAGCACAACTTATTGCTAGTTATCATATCCATCCATTCACATAACTTAATAACCCTACCGTATATTGCCTTATTTCCTCCTATTTTTTATTGCAATTTTCTATATATCCGAGAAAATGTTGCATCATTTGTGTGTGTTGGTGGTGACTTAGTGGACGAAGGCGCTTTGATTAACCTCTCTCTCTATTTAGGTATATTAATTTTCAATACTTTTATTCAACCCTATCTGCTGACTACATACAAGTGAATGAATGTAATGCAATGACTGAGGATTTTCCTAGGTTACTCAGCTTAACAGGATCAGTCACTCTGGATCCAACTAAATTCCTATGTTCCGATAAAATAATTGACTCTAATCTAAAAGTCTAACTCATGTAACTGACTTCACAATCATTGCATTATTTTTCCCAATTGGATATAACCTGCCCTTCAGCCGGCAAAGTTTTTCTCTGAGTAAGTTGGTTGGTTTGAATGCTACACCCGAATCCAACCTTATTAAGAATCCTGCTTTATACTTTAGTAATATCTAAGTTTTGAATTCTTTGTTATTTACTCTGATTTTTTTGTGAATCCTAATACATTTTTGGATGAATTCTGGTGCTTCGCTATCCATTGGTAATGTTTTCTCTATTTGCTTGATCTCATTGCTTAAATCTTCTAACTTACTAGTTTAGGCTTCTGACTTGATTGCATCAATATTTAACTGAACATGCCTTAACAGGCTTCTGTCATGTTAAGAACACTTCACTTAGTAAAAGTATTTTCGGAGAACAGCAAAAAATGAACAGATGTCAATTAGCACTACCCAGCATACTGCATTAATTTCATTCCATTGAGTTCCAGTTGGGACATAGGGTTACAACCTTGTGGTTCAAAGTTTCAGTAGCACTGGTTTTATTTTTACGGAGTTAGGTTGCCATCATTACATGCGACCTTCCCTCTTTACGAGGAATAACGTCAACTTAGTCAGGTTTAAGAGTGTGCCGGTTGAAAGTCGAGCTTTGGACCACTTGGGTGGTTGGCGAGCTTTCTACTGCTGAACTACCAGCTCCCAGTACACTTTATATTCGAGTTATTTCTATTTCTAAATATATTTTAAATCTTAAAGTGTTAGTTCGTCGGGATTTCAACATAAATCACAGATTAATATGAGTTAAAGAAACACTGAAAACCAGGGAGTATTGCATAGTCATTTTGCCAGAGTTTTGGACTCTTCAGGAGTACACACGCACGCCCCCAGCAAGGATCTAACCCTAAACCAATGGGTTGCGAGATGAATGCACCAATCACACAGCTATTAGGACGGAAACCAGTGGCCAGTCCATTAATGCTAACTTCTCTCAATTCATGATTTACTTCGCCACTACCAGCCAGTCTGATCGGTGAGTATTTGTTCTTACACCCAACCTGCTGAATCTCACTACTGATGACTTCTCACTAGAACTCTAAGTAACTTTGTTCTGTGGTCAGTTACTGGTGATTGAGTGAATACTGGGGAAGTGTACTTCTGAACATTTCAAAACTAGGACAAGACAACTGTCCAATGGTACTTCCTAGTTTTCAGCAGTTCTCTAACTGACTCCAATTTATGTTTAAACTTGATCCTTCAAATAAAAAAAATGATGCTTCATACTATAATCAAAATTATAATAACTCACGTTAATGTTTGACTGCATACTGAACATTTAAAACAATTACGATGTACAACTTGATCAACTAAATCATAACGTTCATTTACTGACATTGGTTTATTACATATTGAACAATTATGAATTGATTTCAAATTACAATTCATTAATTGATTTAATATCTAAATAAATGAATAAATAGATAAATAAATAATTAAAAATTGAATGGACATCTACTTGAGAAAAAGTAAACAATTACTTTCATAATAATTTGTTCATTGGATATATAGTAAACTGAGTGAAACAGTGTTATATGCTAGAGGACGCTTTTAACACAACTTTCTCATTTGTCTTAAGGGTAGTAGAAGTTTTCAGATGTCTAGATAGGCAGGTGTTGAATGATTCCTGCCGCAAAAAATCTCACAGTTGATTCGATAAATAAAGCGTCTACTACTAATCTCTCCTTTCACTCTGTTATAAAAAATCTTAAGACCATCATCTAACCCTCTCTCACTGTATTAACATTATTCCTTTAACTTGCAACGGAAACACAGAGCTTCGACACAGCATCTTCGCTATATTCTGTTCTCTGCAGTCCTCTTTAGATGTTCACACGATTGCTCGTAGACTTTCATTTCCTCCTACGATCTTTTCTACGTCAGCCTCGGATGCCCAACTTATCGTCCGTCATTCAGGTTCCACACAAGGGCCTGTCTCCTCAGCGTATATCCAACCCTTCTCTATTTTCTTCCCTATATTTGTTGAGCAATGGGCACTTGATTCGTTTGTTCCGAGAGTATCTTGATGCTAATTCTATCTGGCCAGCCATTTTACCTTCAGTGTCGAAAGAAGGTAGCAGTTGATAAAAGTCTGCAGTGGCCTGCTGGAATCGCTTTCTGTGACGCGTGAGCCGTGTTTCAAACTCATATGGATGAAATGATCTAACAGTGGTGTTGAAAATCAGAATTTCTTTTGTTTATACTGAGTGCAAAAGATTTCCAAGCTGAATTCAGGGTGATGAAAGTCTGTCTTGCCTACTGTTTGGTTCTGTGTAATTGCATATGGTGCTGTAGCTGGGATATTTTCTAGATTTCTTATCTTACGTAGATCTGTTAGTCTAGATTTCGTCAACTTCCGTGGTTTCCTTAATCCAACTGATACTTAAT